TCCTGTCTGCATCCTGCCTCCCGTGGTCCTGGGGGTGGTGTCCTGTCTGCATCCTGCCTCCCGTGGTCCTGGGGGTGGTGTCCTGTCTGCATCCTATTGTGTGTGGTCCAGTGGGTGAGTCACAATCACTGTGGCCTGATTCTCTGCGGAAGGCCATGCTTGTTTTGGGTGGATTTAACTTCATTGTGTCGAGGGTGAATGGTGATGGTAACCTTAGGAGAGTTTGTATTGGACTCATTTTGTCTGCCTCAGACTGGCAGATGTATTTGACATTTTTCATAGCAGGGAAGTGCAGTTGATGGAAATGCTGTGGTAACAAGGGAGAAACGCATATTGTCCTGGAGCTCAGGGCAGTGGAGGCTGGTAGGATGCCCTAGGACATGCCTGCAGGGGTCTCTGGGGTGGGATGTTAGAGAGATGCCTTTCTTTTTTTTTTTGGCCAGGGCTGGGTTTGAACCGGCTACCTCTGGTATATGGGACTGGTGCCCTACTCCTTTGAGCCACAGGCATTGCCCCTCCTTTCTTTATTCTACACAAGAGATACTTTATGAACAGTGTCTAATGTGGCACGCATGAGCTGCATGTTGAGGTGGTCAGCTTGGCTGGTGTCGGAACTTTTCTTGGTTTCCTACTTCCTGGGCCCGCCAGAAATCACAATTTAAAAAAAAGAGTAAAAGATTCCTTATTGATATTTAGCCAAGTTCATTTGGATGGTTGGCATATATTTCTTAGATTTTCCTAGAAAGTTTACTTTAAAAGAAAATTGATCCTGGCTGGGCGTAATGGCTCACACCTGTAATCTTAGCACTCTGGGAGGCCGAGGCAGGAGGATCACTTGAGCTCAGGAGTTTTGAGACCAGCCTGAGCAAGAGTGAGACCCTGTCTCTACTAAAAACAGAAAAACTAGCTGGGTGTTGTGACATGTGCCTGTAGTCCCAGTTACTGAGGAGGCTGAGACAATAGGATCGTTTGAGCCTAAGAGTCTGATGTTGCTATGAACTATGACACCACAGCACTCAACCCTGGGCAACAGAGTAAGACTCTGTCTCAAAAAAAAAAAAAAAAGGAAAGGCCCAGAGGGGTACTTATTATCTCAAATAATTTGCAAGTGGGTTTGGATGGTGTTGGGATTACATATGGGAAGATCTGAAAAGTTTTTTTTTTTTTTTTTTTTTTTTATTGAATGGTAACTGTGTGAAAGTTTTGATATGTACATGAAATAATGAGGCTGCAGGTAAACCACTGTGGAACTATGAAGCTTGCCACAGCCAGAGCCAAGTTCCTGGTGCAGATGCCTCAGGACTTACCCAATCCTGGACGTGTCTTTTTGATGAATTGAACTTTGCAGAGTAACAGTCGAAGTTGCAGGAGATATTAGTGTAACTTTCCAGTAGAGCATTAGTCTTATTCTTTAATCAAAACAGGAATAAAATTGGTAATGGCCACATTGGGTCTTATCTCTCTTGCCCTACAGACCATACGGCCTTACTGTGGAGCATCGAGACGGGGAGGTGCCTTGTGAAGTATGCAGGCCACGCGGGCTCAGGTGAGCACTGCCCTGGCAGCCACCCCTGGCTGCTTCCCACTTGATTTGTGTTTAGAATTTTGCATAAGACCAGCTACTTTACTTGTTGGGAAGCTTATTCTATTCCGATAGTCAGGGAATGGTGTCAGGGGACAGTGTGGTGCATTTGGGCACTAGGATAAACTGTGTGTCTGTAGCTCATACGGCTTGAGGAAGTAGAAAGGCTGAACCCCTGTGGCAGTGTGCACACAGCCTGCATTTTAGTCCACGTTGGACATCAGCACGTGTAGAGAATTTTGTTACCGAAATGTATGGATTCTTTCTTTTTCTTTTAATTCCCTGGATGTGCATTATTCATCATAAAACATGTATCTGTTTTAGAGATTGAGTTTTGATGTAGTAAATTTGGATGCATTCAGGCTAAATAAAGGACACTCTGAAAATGCACTTCTGTGCTGTGTTTAATGCTTGTCCAGTAGCTGGTCTCTGCCTTTCCGGTTAGACCTGTGTACATATCAGTGCCTGCCCAAATGCCCTGCCTGGGGGCCCTCACCCCCTCCCACATCTGCCTGTGCATGCTTCACCTTGTTGGAAGACTCAGATGGCATTGCCTGTGGCGTGTACAGGGATGCACATGCAGGTGGATATGTCCCTCTGGGTGTAGCCTGCCCATCCTGTGGTCCCAGCCATGGCCGGGGGTGTGTGTGTGTGCTGTGGGCTGTCTTGCTCCCTTTCTCAGGCTTTCTCTCCTCCAGTCATTCTCTATTCTTTGTGCCACTGTTCCCCTCAGCATGTAAGTAGCTCCCCTCACCCTCTCTGCATCTCTCCCTCCCTTGCCTGCTCTGCACCTCTCGCCCACAGCTGTTGGGTGCTCCCACCTCACCCTCACTTCCTGACACTCTGCTGAAGGGCACCAGGTGCTTGGAAATGGAGAAGAACATCGCCCAGAGGATGAGGCTGTACTCTCTGTTTCTGTCTATTCCTTCAATTTACTCTTTAAAAACATTTTAAAACTTTTTTTGGCCAGGGCCAGGTTTGAACCCACCACCTCCAGTATATGGGGCTGGCACCCTACTCCTTGAGCCACAGGCGCCGCCCCATTTTAAAACTTAAACACATGGTAACTACATAAAAGGTCACTGGCAGTATCCCACCTCATTCCTCCTCATCCTCCTCCTTCCCTCGTATCACTTCCCAGAAGGCCACAGCTGTCGTAAGTTTTCTTCTTTGTTCTTGCTGTTTTCTATATAACAGCCCCCCCCCTTTTTTTTTTGAGACAGATTTTCACTATGTTGCGATTAGTAGAGTGCTGTGGCGTCACAGCTCGTGGAAACCTCAAAATCTTGGGCTTAAGTGATTCTCTTGCCTCAGCCTCTCAAGTAGCTGGGACTACAGGCACCCACTACAGTGCCTAGCTATTTTTTTGTTGCAGTTGTCATTATTGTTTAGCAGGCCTGGGCTGGGTTCAAACCCTCCAGCCTAGGTGTATGTGGCTGATGCTCTACCCACTGAACTACAGGCGCCACCATAATAGCCTTTTTTATTATTTCTTAACTTTAGAGTTTTATTTTATTTTATTTTATTTTTTTTTGAGACAGAGGCTCAAGCTATTCCCCTGGGTAGAGTGCCATGGCATCACAGCTCATAGCAACCTCCAACTTCTGGGCTCAAGCGAGTCTCCTGCCTCAGCCTCCCAAGTAGCTGGGACCACAGGCGCCCTCCACAACGCCTGGCCATTTTTTTTTTTTTTTTGGTTGCAGCCATCATTGTTGTTTGGCGGGCCCGGGCTGGATTCGAACCCATCACCTTAGGTGTATGTCCTGACGCCCTAGCCACTTGTGCCATAGGCACTGAGCCAACTTTAGAGTTTTAGATAAAGAATTGTTTCCTGGGAGGCTCCTATGCTTAAAAGGGTAGGGCACAAGCCCTACCCTTTTCCTACCCTTCCCAAAAGTGTAGGAAAAAAAAGAACTGTTTCCTCTTAAGGACATAAAGATTGTCCTCACATGCATACTTCTCCCCTCCGTGTCATCCAAAGTAGTGACGTCATGACGTTTATGGAAGTGGATTCTTGCAGTTAGTGACTACGATTGTCTCGGTGTTGTTGCACCTGCCCAAGAGTTGAACAATAATTTCATCCCCAGTTTTGTTTTCTCTTAAGTTAATAGTTGTCTTATGGGGGTCTAACAACTACGTTCTCAAGCTCATCCTTGAAAAGTGCTACGTCCTGCATTGCAGAGTGTCACTGTGGTCCCCTTCAAAGTGCTCCCCACAGGAAGCTGTGCACTGAGGCTGGCACCTGCTCCGCCTTTCAGAGCAGTTTTGGAACTTTTTCTGGAGTGACCATCAGAGCTGTTGTATAGCACACAAAAACACAACAATAGCAATCACAAACAGCGCCATGACCACGAACACAGCTGTGAGACTCTGACGTACCAGGTTCTGAGCCCTCCCTGAATTGTCCGCACAGCGCCGCCAACGTAGGCACATGTGGCAAGTTCATGAACTTAATGTCGGACCTCGCATGTGATGATGGCTCTGATGGTCAATCCAGAAAGAGTTCCAAAATTGCTTTGAAGAGTGGACTTGGTGCTGCTGTGGGTGCACAGCTTCTCAAGGTGACCGCAGAGGTGTTCAGCGGTGAGGTACAGGTCTTCTCTCTTCTTTAGGATGAGTTCACGAACTTACTTGTCAGGCCTGTCCTTTTTTACCCCTAGTCTCCTGCCAGGTGTGTAGCATGTAAGCTCAGATTCGAAGGTCTCTTGTCCCTCGTGCTGTTCCTGTTCCCTCTCTGGAGGTCCCACTCTCGGCTTCTGGTGTCTGAGTCCTCAGAGCAGGTGGCCTGTGGTCCTGCAGCTGGGCCCTCCTGTCACAGCCTCTGTGGACCCTCATCACTTCTCATGGAAACCATCTTTTAAGACCTTCCCTATAAAGGGCACCTGGCAGGTGACATATTTCAAGTCTTAAGTATTTGAAAAATAGATAATCATTAACCCTTGATAATTTGGCAAGTATATTCCTCTACATAGGAAATAATTTTCTTTCAGAAAATTGGAGGGCATTACTATATTATCTATTTTTATAACTTCTAAGATAAGTCTAATGCTATTTTGATTCTTTGTAGGTGATCTGATATTTCTCTCTAAAAGCTTCCAGGACTTTGTTTTTTTGGCTCATGGACTTGTTTTTTGTTTAATTGTGATAGACATTTACTGAGACTTTTCAGTCTGTAAATAAATGTTCTGAGAAATACTGAGAAATATTTATGTATTTTGTAATTCATATTAATAGGATGTTGGACTTCCTAGATTATTCTAATTTAATATTTTTCTTTTATTCTGTACATTAATTTTTCTTTATTTCTAGGAGATTTCTCCAAACTTTATCCTTTTAGCTCTTCCATTAAAAAAATTATGGTGTGATGATTTCCTATAATTCTTTCTTGTTCTCTAAAGGTTGCTTTTATTGTTGTTGTTGTTGTTGTAGTTTGGCTGGGGCTGGGTTTGAACCTGCCACCCTCGGTATATGGAGCTGGCGCCCTACTCACTGAGCCCCAGGTGCTGCCGCTAAAGGTTGCTTTTTTTTAATTTTTTTTGGCCGGGGCTGGGTTTGAACCCGCCACCTCCGGCATATGGGACCGGTGCCCTACCCTTTTGAGCCACAGGTGCCGCCCTAAAGGTTGCTTTTTATCATAACGTCCTACAAAGTCTTTTCCTCTTTAGTTAGTCCCTCAGGAGAGTGGGCCTTTCCCTGGGGCAAGGAGGGGACAGGAGGCAGGAGGGTCACTGGGACTCAGCTGCTGTATGTGCTGATGGGGTTGTTCCCTTTCAGTCCTGTGGTCCCGTCCTGGCACCTGCAGCCTTTGTGTTGCTTTTTACTCTGTGAATTTTTTATTATAGTATGACACACACTGAAAAGGGCCCAAGTCTCAAGTGCAGTGAGTATGCACAGTGGTGATGCCTGTCCACCCTCTACTCCTGGGGCTGAGGTGTTGATGTGAGGGTCACCATGCTGTGTTACTGCCTTGGGGACAGCACCACAGTATAGGCATGCCTGGGGAGCCAGACCCCTGAAATAAAGTGAATTTCACCATAAAGTGAGTCATGGAGATTTTCTGGTTTCCCAGTCTATATAAAAGTTGCCTTTATAATGCAGCTGTGATCCATTCAGCATGCAGTGGCACTGACCCCTGTGCAGGAGAGAATCTGCACATTTTGGATTTCTAAAAACTTGACTGCTAATAGCCTGCTGTTGACTGGAAGCCTTAATGATAAAAACCGGTAACATAAACAACCAATCAATGCATACTTTCTTTCTTTCTTTTTTTTTTTTGAGACAGCGTATCAAGCTGTAGCCCTGGATAGAGTGCCATGGCATTATAGTTCAAAGCAACCTCCAAATCTTGGGCTCAAGAAATCCTCTTGCCTCAGTTTCTCTATTTTTTGTAGAGGTGGGGTCTCGCTTTTGCTCAGGCTGGTCTTGAACTCGAGAGCTCAAGCTGTCCACCACCTTGGACTCCCAGAGTGCTAGAATTACAGGCCTGAGCCACAGCACCCGGCCTTGATTAACGCATACTTTGTTATGCCTCTCATATGCTGTGTTCTTGTAGTAAAGTAAACTAAAGAAATGTTAAGAAAATCATAAGGTAGGGACATGTATTAACTGCTCATTAAGTGGAAGCGGAGTGTGGTGAATGTCCCACCCTGGTCATTTTCACATTTCACATTGAGCAGGCTGAGAAGGAGGAGGAAGAGGTGGGGTTGGGTCTGCCGTCTCAGGGGCAGCAGAAACGCTGCGTCTAAGTGGCCATGCAGTTCAGATCTGTGTTGTTTAGGGGTCAGTTGTGAATACTTTAGTTTAAAAATACCTTATTGCTAAGCCTTGCTAGCAGTCATCCAAACCTCAACTCAGTCAGTCGTTTTGCTGATGGAGAGTCCTGCCTTGGTGATGGTGCTCCTGGGTCAGTGTGGTGGGCGCTGTGCAGTTTCTAAAGTAAGATGACAGTGAACTTTGCTCCATTGTCCACTCTTCCTTCCCAGAAAGCTTTCTCTGCAGCATGAGGTGCTGTTTGACAGCATTTTACCCTCAGTAGAACTTCTTTCAAAATTGAAGTCACTCCTTTCAGATGGCACCGCTGCCTTATCAGCTGAGCTTGTAGATCATTCTAAATATTTTGTTGTCATTTGGACAGTGTTCAGATCACCTTTGCCAGGATTTGACTCGTCCATGAGAAGCAACTCCTCATCTGCCCAGCATCACCGTGAGGCTGCAGCAGCTCAGTCCCATCCTCAGAATCATTCTAGTCCCCTTGGGTCTCAACCGTATCTGCAGTGACCTCTCCACTGAAATCATTTTTATTTTTTATTGTTTGGACACAGAGTCTCAGTCACTTTGGTTTGAGTGCCATGGCATCATAGCTCACAGCAACCTCTAACTTGGGTTCAAGTGATTCTCTTGCCTTAGCCGCTTCCTGAGTAGCTGGGACTACTGGTGTCTGCCCCAACTCCTGACTGTTTTTAGGGCTGGGGTCTCACTCTGGCTCAGGCTGGTCTCGAACTTGTGAGCTCAGACAATCCACCCTCCTCGGCCTCCCAGAGTACTAGGATTACAGGCGGGAGCCACTGTGCTTGATCCTCCACTGAAGTCTTGCACTATGAATAACTTTTCCAAACTCTCACTAATGATATTTTGACCTTCTCCTGTGAATCACAGATGTTCTCAGTGGCACCTAGAATAAGGAATCCTTTCCAAAAGGTTTTCAGTTGACTTTGCCCAGTTCCACCAGAGGACTCACTGTGGCAGCTTGAGCCTTTCAAAATGTATTTTCTAAATAATACGACTGGAAAGTTGAAACGGGCCCAGTGTGGTGACTCATACCTGTTTTCTTGGCACGTTGAGAGACCAAGGCAGGGGAATCATTTGATACCTCAAATTCAAGACCAGCCTGAGCAACAAAACCAGACCCTGTGTCCATAAAAAAAATGCCTACAAAAAGTATTAGCTGGGGCTGGGCATGGTGGCTCACGCCTCTAATCCCAGCACTTGGGAAGGCCGAGGCAGGCGGATAGCTTGAGTTCACGGGTTTAAGACCAGCCTAGGCTAGAGTGAGACCCCATCTCTTAAAATAGCCAGGCATTGTGGTGGGTGCCTCCCTGAGCTTAGTTGTTCCTAGCCTTTGGCTGACAGCAGACGCTTAAGGCCCTTACCTCTGGCCGCAGGGGTGCTGCCTACGCATCTCAGCTACTTGAGAGGCTGAGGCAAGAAGATCGCTTGACCCCAAGAGTTTGAGGTTGCTGTGAGCTGTGATGCCATAGCACTCTACCCAGGGTGACATAATGAGACTCTGTCTCCAAAAAAAAAAAAAAAGGCCAGGCGTTGTGGCGGGTGCCTGTAGTCTCAGCTACTTGGGAAGCTGAGGCAAGAGGATCAGTTGAGCCCAAGTTTGAGGTACTGTGAGCTATGATGCCATGGCACTGTACCAAGGGTAACAAAATGAGACAGAGTGAGAAAAAAAAATTAGCTGGTGTGGTAGTGCTCACTTGTAGTCCCAGGTACTTGGGAAACTGAGGCAGGAGGATTGCTTGAGCCCAGGGATTTGAGGCTGCAGTGAGCTGTGATCTCACCATTGTACTCCTGCTGGGGTGACAGACCCATCTCCCTTGAGGCTCTGAAGTCAGGCGCTGACTTCTCTCTAGCTATGAACGTCCCAGATGGCATCTTCTTCCAGTAGGAGGCCATTTGGTCTGCGTGGAAACTGATGCTCAGTGCAGCCGCCCTCCTCAGTGGTCTCAGCTGGACCTTCTGGGTGACCTGCTGCAGCTTCTCCATTAGCTGGAGTGATTGTGTCCACTTTGCACATCACATTGCAGAGACAGCTTCTTTCCCTAAACCTTATGACCTACCTCAGTAGCATCCTTACCTCTCTGACTTCACAGAACAAAAGAGAGTCAGGGCCTTGCTGTGGGTCAGGCTTTGGTGAGGGAATGTCGAGGCTGGTTTGATCTGTCCAGACCGCTCAGACTCCCTCCATGTTGGCACTGGTGCTGTTGGGCCTTCTCCCCATCTGCGTGCTCATTGGAGCGGCTCTGTGAACCTCTCCTTTGCGTTCTTGGCTTTGCTGTTTGCTGGGAGAGGCCCAGCTCTCAGCCTGTCTGTGCTCTGTCTTCCTCCTGAGCTCGGTCGTTCCCAGCCTTTGGCTGATAGCAGACGCTTGAGTCCCTGGCCAGCATTTCCTGCACTGCTGCTCTGGCCACAGGGGTGCTACCTGCCCATTTCTACAGCGTGTACTCCTGCGCTGCGCCTGGTGGCCCCTTTCTGGCCACTTCTGCTGACTTCCTAACACAGAAGGTGACCTGACTCTCATGCCCCATTCTCCGTGTGTCACACCCAGGCGAGGCTCTAGCCCAGCCCCCGTGTAGACACATTGTCACTGTGGGAGGTCCAGGGTCAGTGAGCATGACTCTTGGCAGCACTGATGGTGAGCTGTCACCATGCTCCCTGGGCAGGAGGGTACAGCTGCCGACAGGCTGGCGGGGCCTCTTCCCCTTGTGCCTCCAGCAGTCTTGAGGCAGCAGGGTTGGCTGTGTCCCACGATTGCTTTGCTGAAGGTTTAGAAAGACACAGTGGGGTGAAAATAAACCACTGATCTCACCAAGATTTCTCACTGAAATTGGAAGCATTCATGCTATTAGTAGTTGCAGTTATAGTTTATTTTTTACATTATTTATTGCTTAACTTTATTACTTAAAAGGTATACATAGTCTTTACCACAGATTAAAAGGTGTACATAGTCGCTACCTATATTTTAATGTTAATGGTAAAAAGAACATGTTCTAGCACTTTTTACTTAGTTTCTTAAAAAAAAAAATTCCAGTGGTGTTGCTGTTTCCTTACCTCATGTTCTGTGCCAGGGCCATGCCCTTTCCCCAAGAAGGTATGGCAGTGAGGGTGTCCCCACTGTGATGTGGGCAAAGCTCTCATGACAGGCTGGCCAGCCCGCTGAGACCTCTTCTCCTCAGGAGACCCTAGTGGGCAGGTGGGCTCAGGAGTGGGTTGGGACCTGGGTGGCTCCAGCCTTGATGTGCTAACTGTGGCCCCCGTGGTTGCACTGGCCATGTGCTCAGCATCCCTGTCTGTATCCAGGGCAGGAAGGAGGGAGCCCCTCTCTTGCTCAAGAGAGTGCCAGCATCCCTGGAAGACATATCTGGACAAGGACAAGGTCTGCCCCCTTCCAGCCATCCCCTGAGGCTGTGGAGGGCTGTGTCCCTGCATTCCTGGGCCTCCACTTGTCACAGAACAGACCGGGAAGGTGGGCGGTGGGCTCCGGGCCTGGCCTGGTGGGACTTATCCTGATTGATACTTAGCTCTAATGACTTCCCTATCTGTGGAGAGAAAGAGATTCTTAATATCCTTTTTCTGTGTCCTTAAATTCTGCAATTTGTGGTCTGTGCCTTTGCTATTTTGTTCTAACACATTTACTGAATGGGAGATTAATATCAAACTATTATTATTTTAACTTTTAATTTTAAAATATATGCTGTAGCTAATGAATATTGATAACCTGTTTTTATCATATTTTTATTTTGCAGTAAATTCTATAAAGTTTCATCCCTCAGAGCAGTTGGCTCTCACTGGTATGTTGATTTTTTTCTTTTACTGAATAGACCTATTGATATTCTTAGAAAAAATATGTATTCCTTTCTTGCCAGTAGCATCAGGATAATCTTTGGCTTTTACAAAATGTAGACAGTCTAGTAGGCAGTTTATGAATCAAATGAGAAATGAGTTAAAAAACTGCTTTGAGTAGTATGTTTAAAGCCAACAGTGAGTTACCACTTAGGGCAATTTGAACTTGTTGTGACATTAAAATCCATTCATGACCCTCAGTCTTTCTTTTGAGCACTTCCTTGCTGCCTGGTCGTTCCTGGTGGGTGGTGACACAGCTCCTTGGTGGCCTGTCGTACTGCTGGGTGTCCTAATTCTCTTTGCCTCTGAAATAAAGAAGTGAGAAAAGGAACCCCAGACACAGCACTTTACTAGATAATTTACCTAAGCTTTGATAGCTTGGGTTTGTCATAATTTCACATAGTAGTTTTAAAAACATACCTTCATTTATCACTTTTGGGCAGAAGCTTTATTGAAGTGAGGATTTTCCTTTAAAGTTCTCAGACACCTGTGAACCCTGTGATATTTTGGGTTCACTGGTGATGATCTTGGAGGGTGTGTCAGCTGCTGCTGGACCAGGGTCAGCTCTGCTTCCAGCATAGGCAGTGAACAGGCTTCTTTTGGTGGACACATGTCCTGCTCTTGTCACAGCTGCTCTGGCAGGGTCGCTGTGCTGTGTGTGTGGCAGCTTTGTTGACATAGCTGGGGACTGCCTGGATCTGGTCCCTGGGTCAGACTGTGCTGACCTGGGGGCAGAACAGGGCAGTGGAGGTCACCAGGCTCAAGGTGGGTGTGGCTGAGTGCAGTTTGGTGGGGGCATTCACAGGTGAGGAGACAAGGGGAAAGTTGGTGGGAGGGGTCACCTGAGCAGGCCTGGACCAAGCATTGACTTACATGCCACACAACGTCTGAGGAGCCCATGGCCTGGGGGCTGCCAAAGCCAGGTGGCCATTGTGGGAACAATCAGGAAGCTGGTGCGGTTGAGGGAATGATGGGGTAAGACTGGGATGGACGGACATGGCGCTGCTCCTGTAGGGCCTCTGCAGTGGGAAGGACAGGTGGACCTGGGCTGTTCCCATGAGGGCCCCAGGTGTCTGAGGCCTGCAAAGCGCTTGGGTGTGTCCTTGCAAACCTGGGCCAGTTCAGAGAGAGGAAGGGGGCTGCATGGGCTGGCTGTACTAACAGGTACTGGCAAATCATAGGGTCCCCTCTGTGTCTGGGGCATGAATACGAGAATTACTCACTTTTCTGAGCCGTCCCAGGACCCATTTTAGTTGCTAGTTGTGGTGTCAGAGGGTTCAGTTTTCTGAGACCAGGTAGATGGAGAATAAAATCTATTTGTCAGTTTTCTCTGAACTCAGCAACTTTCTACCCTGTAATCACATTTAGTTTTGTGCGTTTATGCTCTTCTCACTGGCACTGTGTGGTTTCAGAGATGGCTGTGTGAATAAAATGCTTCATTTCACCCCGTCATCCCTGGGTCACAGGAGCCTGAGCCAAACCTGTGCATGGCTGTGTGTTGGTAACCCTCCTGGTTTCTCTCTTCAGCTTCTGGAGATCAGACCACTCATGTCTGGAGATATGTGGTGCAGCTGCCGACTCCCCAGCCTGTGGCCGACACTAGCGTAAGCACCCTTCCTCCTGGAACCCAGCCTGTGCTGTGCCGGAGGGCTCTGTCTGCAGCTCTTATGTCTGTAATGTCTCTTACGGTGGAATGTTGTGCCCCCCACAAGCTCACGTTTTGAAGTCTTAACCCCAGTGTGGCTGTGTTTGGAGATTGGGCCTCTGGAGAAGTAGTTAAGACTGAGTGATGATGTAAGGGGGTTCCCTACGTGCTGGAATGAGGGTCCTTATAAGAAGAGACCTAGAGGGCTGGCTGATGTGCTCAGTCTCTTCCCTCCCTCTCCCTCCCTTCCTTTACCCTCCCATCCTTCCCTTTCCCTCCCTCCCTCCCCTCCCCCTCCCCCTCCATCCCTCACTATGTCTCCATCTCACCCTCCCTCACTTACTCTCTTTCTCCCTCTCTCTCTCCTTCCCCTTACTCTCTGCTGAGTATCAGTAGGACAGCAGTACCTACAGGCCAGGAGAGGGTGTCCCTGTGTGTGTGTTCCCACAGTCGAGTGTCTGTGTTCCGAGTCGTGTGTATGTGTGTCCATGTGGTGTGTGCTCCCGTAGTCATGTATGCGTGTACCCACAGTGTTGTGTGTCCCCACAGTTGTGTATGACTTTGTGATCTGTGTTTCTGCAGTCGTGTGTGCCTGTGTCCCTCACCCCTGTGCTGCCTCATGTGCTATGTGTGATGTTTCTTGCTGAGCGTGGGTTTGGGGAGATAGGCCCCTGCCCGGTGTGCTTAGCCCTGCCTGTGTTGGGTGCCATCTGTTCCCTCCCTCTGGTGTGTCACCAGCACCTCTAAGTGCTGGGCAGATATGTGTTGCATCAATGTGCATATTTTCTGGGTTTTTTTTTTGAGACAGAGTCTCACTTTGTCACCCTCGGTAGAGTACCGTGGCATCACAGCTCACAGAACCTCAAATTCCTGGGCTCAAGCGAACCTCTTGCCTCAGCCTCCTGAGTAGCTGGGACTACAAGTGACCGCCACCACGCCCAGCTATTTTTAGAGACAAGGTCTCTCTCTGGCTCAGGCCAGCCTTGAATTTGCGAGTTCACTCTGCTTGGCTTCCCAGAGTGCTGGGATTACAGGCTGAGCCACTGTGCCCAGCCTGTGTGCAGCTTTTCTTACAGAGATAAAGTCTGTGCTGGCCATTAGGTTTTTATTTTGTCCTAGCCTTTAACAAAAGACTTCATTGATACTGCAGGAAAATAAACTCTTGTGTAGTTATAGCAATAGAAATCTCTAAGTATATTTTAAATTGGCTCTTTAGAACTGAAATGCCTCTTCCTTACGGTAACAACTTACTGACTGCCAGCTGTACTTTAGTTTTGTGTTGCATGTGTACTCAGTGCCCTCCTCCTGTTGGCTGTAGTGATGATCAGGTCCACCCTGATTTTGTAGCTGTGTCAGAAAATACTCAAGAACCCCAGGAAATTTCCTTCTTTTCTGCTCTTACCTTTAGCAGCAAATCTCTGGAGAAGATGAAGTAGAATGTTCTGATAAAGATGAGCCTGACCTTGATGGAGACATGGCCAGTGATTGCCCCACCGTCCGGGTCCCACTGACGTCTCTCAAGAGCCATCAGGGCGTGGTCATCGCCGCGGACTGGCTGGTGGGGGGCAAGCAGGCCGTCACAGCCTCCTGGGACAGGACGGCAAACCTGTATGACGTGGAGACGTCGGAGCTGGTGCACTCTCTGACAGGTGCTCTGTGCTGCAGTCGCACACTCATCTGGGTTCGTGTGTCTGTGTCTGAGCTGGAGAGTCACTTTTCAGCTAGGACTGTGTTCAGTGCTCATGGCTCTTCTGTCATTTTCAGAGATGGTTTCTGATAGAACTTTTGGCAGCTGAATTTATTTTATCTTCAGGAGATTTCATTGTGGCATGTAGTTTTCTTTCTTTCTTTTTTTTTTTTTTGAGACCGAGTCTAACTGTGTTGCCCTCAGTAGAGTGCTGTGGCATCACAGCTCACAGCAACCTCAAACTCTTAGGCTCAAGTGATTCTCTTGCCTTAGCCTCCCAGGTAGCTGGGACTACAGGTGCCTGCCACAATGCCTGGGTATTTTTTTTTTTGTTTGTTTATTTGTTTGTTTAGTAGGCCTGGGCTGGGTTTGAACCCACCAGTCCTGGTGCATGTGGTCAGCACCCTAACCACTGCGCTACAGGTACCCAGCCAGTGTTAGGTTTCTATTGCTCTGCAACAAGTTTCCAGGAACTACTTGGGTCAGGGTCCTGGGTCTGTGGCAGCTGCTCCACTACTCAGGGTCTCAGGGTGAGGCTGTTGCCTGGCGGGGCCTCCGTGAGGCTGGGACTCTCCACCATGTTTCCTGCGGTTGGCAGCTGAGGCCTCCTCTGAGCATCTTGAGGCTGCCCTTGGTCCTTGGTGTCCCCTCAGAGGGATGCCTTTCACCACCTGTCTGTTGGTTGGAGCATACCTCTGGTCTGAGCCCTCCAGCTTCTGGGGGACCAGGGCCTGTTACAGGCCCCCAGGACAGCCTTTCTTGTGATTAACTCAAAGTCCACTGATTTGGGGACCTTAATTATGTTTACAAGATCCTTCTTGCCTTATAATGTACCTTAATCACCAGAGAGCTGTCTGAGCATATCCAAGGGTTATACAGTTTGCAGGCCTGAGATAGGGGTGACTCAGGGGCTGGGGCCCAACATGGAATTCTTCCCCTACAGTTGTTCTGCACGTTTGTCAAAGATTGCATTTCCTTGTCGAGGAAACACCGTTTTACTGAGGGTGCATGGTCCTGTAAGTTATAAGTTATTCTGGAAGTGAAGAATTAAGATTTCAGTCGTTGGTGCCTGTTAACTTGCCCGACCTAACTGGCAGGAGAGAAGATGGGTTAAACACGCACCTTGCTCCCCGCCAGCTGGTCAGGGAAAACCTGTGCCCTTGTGACTGCACGCCGAGTGATTACACTTTCCCAAGGGGTCAGCGGTGTAGCCCTCACAGGCAGGTTTCTGGTTCTAGTGTTTCTGAGGTGCTGCCCTCCCTGTGTGCATAAGTGGTGACCTTGCATTCTGTGGCCTTTGGTTGCAGGGCATGACCAGGAGCTGACGCACTGCTGCACACACCCTACTCAGCGGCTGGTGGTGACCTCCTCTCGAGACACGACTTTCCGCCTCTGGGATTTCAGGGACCCTTCCATCCACTCCGTGAACGTTTTCCAGGGACACACAGAGTGAGTCTTGGCCATTTAGACCTGTGTCCTTAAATGGTCATGAAAAAAATTATGTGGATTGACATGAAAATTTAATTCTAAACTTGCCTTTCAACATTTCCAAATCTACTGTTTTTTACATGGCTGTTATTTTTCTAAACGCTCCCTTTTTGCTATTTCAGAGGATCCAGGAGGTGAAGGGAAGGCACTGATGGTGGGTAGGGATGTAATGGGTGGTGGGGACAGTGGCTTTGGGACACAGGGACAGACTAGGGCCACCATTAGCAGGGTTGGCTGGTGGTGCTCACAGTGCCACAGGGCGTCATCTGGACCTTCCCTTCTAGCTGGTGCTGTCTCCTGTGTCTACAGGTGTCTCTGGGGGTCTCTGTCACGTGTGTCTGCAGGTGTCTGTGGGGGTCTCTGTCACGTGTGTCTGCAGGTGTCTGTGGGGGCCTCTGTCACGTGTGTCTGCAGGTGTCTGAGGGGGTCTCTGTTGCGTGTGTCTGTAGGTGTCTGAGGGGGGCTCTGTCACGTGTGTCTGCAGGTGTCTGTGGGAGGGCATCATCCTGTGTGTCTACAGGTGTCTGTGGGGTGTTCTGTCACGTGTGTCTGCA